AAAAAAAAAAAAAAAAAAAAAAAAAAAAAAAAAAAGAAAAAGAAAAGAAAACAAACACAATGACCAATAGATCGTGACTTTCATAAAAACTTTCCCTCTGCAAGTAAGTTCCAACCGTGACAATATGTGGGCTCTCAGCCAGATAGTCAAGGACATTTTTGGGAGAACTTTTTATATATAGCATACTGGCCTAAGCCATAAATCAGACATATTATTTCCTAGAATTTTCCTTGCTTACAGAGAATTTACCAGTTAAATATTTCTTGTCATGTACCTAAGTCATTCCATGAATTTCAAGGAGCTATGGGGAAAATTGGAAAATTGTGCAGACAACAGAATTTTTTTGTTGTTTTTGGACAACATGGGCAGCTATTGTAGATGTATACCTTTGATGTAATATAGTGATGACATCCAAAACATTTTATTTATGTAGCATTGCATGGATACAGATTAGTTTGCTACTAAACGTTGAAGTCACTGTAGGAATTCAGTTGATCTATTTGATGTACTTGGCCCAGTATGACAAGGTGTGTTGACGGTTTCCTCTTCACATGTGACTTCAGAAAGCTGATGCCACAGTGAACAGTGTTACCATTGTCCTCTCCTCAGGATGAACACACAGGATTCTTTCTCTTGACCATTATTATTTTGGATCATCACTTCCAGACTTTTATAAAAAGTCTTCTTTTTATAAAGAAAGTGAGTGAGATGTGATAGAGCTGCACAATGTACATAATGGAGAAGGGACAGATTCTTTAGCGGATGGTATGGGAACATAGGTCTATATGGAAAGAAATAGGCAAATGCATTTTGTACCATGGAAAAATTTGGGCTCCATAGAAATTAAAGATCGATGAAAAAGTAAAAGTATAAAACTAGTAGGAGAAAATGTAGAAGTATGTCTGAAATTTAGATGAGAAACTGCTATTTTTATTTGTAATTATATTTTTGGTACAATTCGGATATACTTGTTCCTCTGGTGTGAGAAGCTGAAATTGTAAAAGAGCAAAATGTATATAATAGATAATGTGAAATAGGAAGAAAAAGTTCAAATGGGAAGGGGCACTAGGGAGAGAGGGGGAGGAAAGGAAGAAAGAGAAAAGGGAAAAAAACGAGAAAAGAAAGATAAAATAGAAGCAAAGCTTTTGTGAATAACAAGTTGTACTTAAACATAACTCAAAAACCATTTCTTTTTTTGTACCAGGGATTGAACTCAGGACCTTGCACTTGTAAGGTAGTCGGTGGCAACATTGAGCTAAATCCCCGGCTCAAAAACAGAAACAATTTCTTAAAGAATCGGGCTACGAAATATATGACTACATTAAAATGAAAAATGTCTAGCCAATAAATGACACTTGAAAATGTATAGGCTGGTGACAGACTGGAATAGCTTTTAAAATGCACAAAATTAATGACATTAATATAAAACCATTCCAGGAGGCTGAAAATCCACAAGTCAAAAACAGGAAAACAAAAGGCAAAGCTGCATAGCTAATAAGAACAGGAAGTGAGGCTGAAACATATTAGTAGTCTGAGAAGTGCATACGAAAGTTATATTCTATATCCATTGTATTGGCAAAACAGTAATGTGCTTAATTTCATGTGCTGGTATAAGCATAAATTGACTCAAGCTTTTCAGCCCCAAATACCTGAAAGCATTCAAGTAAAATTAATCAAGTATCCTATAGTCCAGCTGTCTCACTTTAGGATATATGTGCCAGGCCACTTTTACAGGTCCACAAAGAGATAGCTACTAAGATTTAGTTCATTGTTGCTGTTGTAGTAGACAGTTGGACACACAGGTATTCATCTCTTAAGCTGAGTGTGCTGACTACATAGTGTGGAAAACAGTATAGCAGTTAGAAGCAACTTCCAGGTACCCTGAGAGCAGGAAAGATAGATCTTTAAAATTTAGCATAAAAGAAAATAAGAGCTATAGCACTGTGTTATCTAATCATCTTAAAGCAAGTACATAAATACATGTATATATCTTAGAGGATATTTATATCAAACACAAGCTATAAACTCATTAAGGGGAAGGTAAGAGAATTTGTTTAGGGCTAATTTATATGTCATCATGTTTCACATTGTTAACCATTGCTATCCTGGTTAATACAGCAAGCCATTGAGCCATTGGATATTTTTTATTCCTCACAGAACATATCTTTAGTTACATGTAAATAAACAGAGTCTGAGACTCCAAACTGTGAGTAACTTTTGTAAGGTTGTTTTATAAGAGTAGAGTTAGCACTCAAAGTAACTCTCAAGTCTCTTTTTTTTTTCTAGTATGCAGTTATAAAGTGGAAAAGAAAGTCAATGTTATTAGGTATAACTGACATATAATCAACATATTTAAAGTGTACAATTTGCCAGTGAATACAGTGTGGGCCTCCATTACCCCTAAATATTTCCTTGTGCTACTTTGTAACTGTTTGTTCCTTCTTACTTCTTGTCCGTTCCACCCTAGGACCCAGGAAATCCCTAATCTGCCTTTCTATAGACTAATTTACATTTTTACACTATAAATTGTTTACATTTTCTTAAAAATTTATGAAATTGAAATCATACTGTACATTCATTTTTGTCTTGCTCTTTCCCTCGACCTAGTAGTACTAAGATTCATTATGTTGTTTATGTATTAATAGTTCCTTTATTCGCTAAGTAGAATTTTGTTATACAAATGTACCACAATTCGTTTATCCATTCACCTATTTATGTACATTTTAGTTGTCTTGGGATTTTTGCTGTTAGAAATAAAGTTCTCATAAACGTTCATGTACAAGTCTTTGTGTGAATGTATAATTTCCTTGGAGCAGTTCTCTAGGATTGGGTTGGCCAGGGCACAGGGTCAGTGTAATCTGCCATTTGTTTGTTTGTTTGTTTGTTTTTTTGAGACAAGGTCTCACTTTGTAATTGAGACTGACCTGGAACTCACTATGTAGCTCAGGCTGGTCTCGAAGTCACAGCGATCCTCCTGAATCAGCCTCCCGAGTGCTGGGATTAAAGGCGTGCGCCACCATGCCTGGCCTCTGCCATTTTCTTAAAAACTACCGAAGTATTTGCTAAAGTGGTTGTAACATTTCGTGTTGTTGTCAGAAGTGTACCCAGCTGCGGTTACCAAAATGAAAATAGTAAATTTCAAATTTCCTTGACAAAATTTGGTCTAGTCTGTCTTTCTTGTCTTTTTATTATTAGACTTTTTAATTTAGTTTTAGTTCTGTTGAGT